CATCATCGATACCAGGCGAGAGAGAGAGGAGACTTCCCCTTCTTCTGTTCTGCTTCTGCTTCTTCTCCGACCCTCCATAGTCACTTCTTCTTCTTGTCTTGTTCTGAGAGAGAGAGAGAGAGAGAGAGAGAGAGAGAGAGAGAGAGAGAGAGAGGCTACAAACAGGGATTATTGTCGGGCCTTGAGCGCCCAGGATCTGATTGGACACATGGAGGATAGGCATTGATTGGATACATGCAGGGGAGACTATTTTTGGACTATTTCGAGCTTCACTCTTGTCTTCTCTCCCCTCTCCTTCCGTCGTCTCTCCTCCCTCTCCATCATCGTGGTCTCCTTACCCAAGGAGGGACCCTCCTTCTATGAATGCTCCCCTGCTTGTTGTGGGACGTGTGTGATGATGTGTGAGTCGACTCTAGGTCCTATGTGTCAAGTCATATCTTTGAGTCTTCCGCTGTGCTACATTGTCTTATTCTGTGATTTGTATGGACGCACATTGCTTTCTTGATGATGCGCTGTATGTCTGAGTCCTTATCATCACCCCGATGTTCCTTCGGTTCATTTGCATCACTCACTCTCAAGTGAGTATGCATCACCTTTGTTGTTTTCTCAATGACTTTCTCAGGTCTCCGAGGAAATAGAATCAAATAAATTCACATCGTGGACTAGTCTTAGGCCAGTAATGTATCTTGCGTGGCTGCGAACAAACTTCCTTTGAAAGAACAGAGCAAACAAGCTAGAGTCATGCTGGAACACTTGCCCATAGGTATCCCTACCACTTGCTCCATGATGAATGAGGAAAGTTTGGCATATCCTAACCTTGCTTTTTGATTCATTGAAGCCGTCCTTTGACTTTCACGTGCCGCTTTCAGGGATGACCTATCACTATCTCTTCCCCCATTACAACGGATGGTCATTTTAGCTGTATTTGGGGTAACTCTCAGTCTAAATACAGCTATAGTGACTGTGCGTTGTATATGGGGGAAGAAGGTAGGCATGCCACACACGTGCAGATCAGACTCTTGGACTGTATTCGAATAGAAAGCAACCTATGCGTTGTATTCGTTTACAACACATGTGCGTTATGTTCGGCGGGAAGACAGTTGAGCCGCTGCTTTTGGTCCAGACAATGTTAAGGGGCGAAAAATCAAGCACCAGAAAGTGCTTGAGTCTAAAGGTACTGGGTTTGGAGTCAAAAGAGGCACCTTGTGGACCCTAGAATCAGTAGAAGACTTCAGGAAAGTCGAAGAGTCAAACGCAATTGGGCATAGCAGCCCAAAAGTCAAAGACTCCGCAGGAGTTGATTGCGGTCACACATCTCGTATACATCCAATCTCAGAGAAACAGATTTTGGGCGTTTCCAAGGTCCACGAGGTCCAGGATCACTCTGGCTGGCAACAAATCTTGGCCGTCAAGATCTAGAAATCTCCGCCACTCGAGGGGGTAAAATTAGGCAGGCCAGCCGAGCCAACAGAACATAAGACTGGGCTGCGTCGGTTGGCTCTTTCATTCGTGCCTCTTACTGCTAGATGCTCGAGCATTGTCCCATAGCTGCCCTGGAGGAAGCCCAGTGTGCTGGTGAGAGAAGAGATTGGATGCCGGTAGAGTAGCCACAGCTAGGTCAACGCCGTTGCCTAGTAGTACAGGGAGAGAGAGCTAGGTGATCGGACCTGTGAGGTGGGCGCATGCACACACGCGCCACACACACACGCACACACACACACACACACGCACACAGATAGATAGATAGACAGATAGATAGATAGATAGATAGATAGATAGATAGATAGAGAGAGAGAGAGAGAGAGAGAGAGAGAGAGAGAGAGAGAGAGAGAGAGAGAGAGAGAGAGGATTTAGTCGACTTACGTGGTGTTGCTGGTGATGATGAAACAGTGGCCTGCTGTTGGATGCTGGAGCACTACCCCATAGCTGCGGTGGGGGAGGCAGAGAGTGCTGGTGAGAGATGAGAGTGAATGCCAGTAGAAAAAACACAGCTAGAGTACCCCCCCCCCCAAGCCATAGTCTAGTAGTAGAGGGAGAAAGTGTGGTTGATGTGATATGACTTGTGAGGCGCACACGCGCGAGCAATCGATTTTTCGATCGATCCAGACAGAGAGAGAGAAAGAGAGAGAGAGAGAGAGAGAGAGAGAGAGAGAGAGAGAGAGAGAGAGTAATGACCCGCCAAAAACACAGACTGAGAACATTGCTGATTTCTGGGATTTGCCGCTGGAATGAATGCCTTGCTGAAATTCCCGCATTCTGCTGTGATTTCCATGTCTGTGTGTGTGTGCGTGCCTGCTGGTTTGCATGCCTGCTGGTTTGCATGCCTGTCTGAGTGCTTGTCGGTTGAGTGTGTGTGTGACCCGCAAGGGTACTTGTTGGTTGCAAGGCCCCGTAGGGCCGGTACTTACCTGTGGCCGTGACTGTGAAGGGTTGCAGGGGGGAAAACACTCGAGTAGCGGGGGTAGGCCYGCRRCACTTAGAGCAGAGGGGAAAAACACTCAAGTAGCAGGTAGGCYGGTACCACTGAAGTAGTGGTAGAAGTGTCGGGTACTGGAGGCCGAGCAGAAGAAGACAAAAAGTTGGCATTTTTAGAGGCCCAGTAGCGGTAGGTTAGAGGTAGGCYGGTACCAGTCCAAGTAGCCCRGGTCTAGGGCCTGTCMGGAGGTTAGCAGAGCCTGCAATGATGTTTCCCTCCGAAAGGGAGGAGGTWCCGGTTGCTGGGAGGCYRCTCGGCCTAGGAAGTCRCCGCCSAGGAGGCCAGTAGGCCGCTATATCTTTCGGAGGAGCAAGTAGCTCCTCCTCATTTGCGGTGTGCAAGGATTGGCGACATGCTGCTGGAGCGCAGCRCTGGACTGGTACAGCRCTGCTTGGAGKTGAAGGGCAGCTGGAGCTACGCCTGGCTATGGCGAGCAGTCCAGCTTGAGGAGGAGGAAGAAGGTTGCGAAGGAGGAGAGTGGCGAGGCACTTACCTGGCTATGGTAGACACCATCTTCATCACCTTGTTGGGCGCTGCATCTGGAAGGCCCCAGTTGGGGTAGTGCTGCACCAAGGAAGCTCGAGGCAGAGTCAGGCATGGCGGACCAGTCAGCAGCGGCATAGCTGCTTTGGGTTGTCCTTTGGACATCAGCGCAGCACCATAGCTGCTTTGGGTTGTCCTTTGGACATCAGCGCAGCACCATAGCTGCTTTGGGTTGTCCTTTGGACGTCAGGGCAAGGCCCTCATTAGTCCGCCATAGCGTATGCATGAGAGAGGAGGCTGAAGGAGGGAAGCCGTAGCTATGGTGGACTTGTTGTTGTTGTTGTTGTTGTTGAGTTGAGTCAGCAGTAAGAGGGAACTTMRGATATTGATTCTGGTTYRTCCATTCATTGTTATTATTATTATTGAGAGAAGAATAAGATTGGTGAAGTGAAGGAGGAGGAGGAAGGTGGAGAGAGAAGGGGGAATTGTCATTGGTCTTGATGGTGTACATCTTCTTCTTCTTCTTCTTCTTCTTCTTCTTCTTCTTCTTCTTCTTCTTTCTCTCTCCTCTGGTCTTTATCTCTTTGCAAGTGCTTTCATTTCCTTCACAATGGGGTGGCATTGTCTTTCATTGTGAATTTGCACTTCGGAAATGACCAGGATCGTAACAATTGGTATCAAAGCGGACTTACTTGTTGGCGAGAGGTGTTAGTCACTCTAAACCTAATTCCGAATTAGGTTAGGGCTAGCCTAATCTCGGATTAGGGTTAGGAAGTTAGGGTTATGTGGGGCAGTGAGGTATGTGGATACTGCCCCCACCTGGTTAGGTCATGTAGGGTCGACATTAGACCTGACCAGGTTGTTTGAGTGAATGGATGGGGTGGTGAGACACAAAGGAGGCTAATTGGAGTAAGCGAGAGGGAGTAGAGAGTGAGAGGTACTCGCATCTGGAATCTGCACTTCAAGAAGACATTGAGTGACTTTTTGGCTTCCCCTCAAGAGGGAGACTTGATCGGAGGCTGCCATATTTGCATCGAATTGCTGCAAGTTGCTACTTTGGTCTTCAGACATCGACGGGGGATCCGACTTTGCAACAGGGGTGTAGGAAGGCCCTCTTAGTCATTCTAGTGGTAGCTAGGGGTCAGGAGGACTTGTGAGAGAGGGGGGTGAGTCGTTATCCGTCTTTGGAGGCCGGGCCTCACAGGTAAGTGTCGTGTGACCTGGCTAGCCCGTGGGAGGTTGCTTGGTGCTTCATGGCCAGTTGGGGGTGTGCTGGGCTCTCTTCCTCTTCTCTGCGGTCTTGGCTGTGTGTGTGAGCATATGGATTGCTTTCTCACCTGATGGATGGATGGATGATGTATTTGTTCTAAATAACATATCTTTCTACGGTGCAATGTCTTTTCATTTCTAAATGGCTGTAGGGGTAAGTTCTTGCTGAAAGTTGTCTTTTCCTTTTCAGTACGGTAGAGGCAGTTTGGGACTGACTTGGTACTCCTATTTTGTTGGTCCTGGTCCACGACCTACTTGGGACCTTCGGGACTCAGTGGGACCAGGCCCAACGGGACAGGACCTTTCGGGCCCAAATCTGTTGCCGCCTGTGCATCTCTTTGCTGCGCTGAACTTGGGGGACATGCGGCTAGCAAGGGCATTCCTTTCAAGGGGATCTTGACTGATCTTACTGCATGTTATCACATATTGGCCCGCGTTTGACTCGGCGACCGTCTGCACCCCTCGAAATCTCCATTGCTGCGGTTAGTTTTCTTCGGCTGATTTACTGTGGTACATGTACCTTGTCAGGTTAGACAAGAGGGGATCTCCAACTAATCTGATCGGGCCCGTTCGTTAAGTCAGCCCTCTCTTTTGTTTTATTTTATTTATTTATTTATTTATTTATTCTTTTATTCTGCTGCGTGCCATCTTGTAAGTCAAAATGAAACGCCACTTCGGCTAGGAGTTCTACCTAACACTGTGTGATTCACTGATTGTTTCTTTCATCTGAACTATCTATGTCCGGTATTGAGACGCGTGCGCAGACAGCGGAGCGAGAAAGAAGGGAGAGAGGTGTTCTTTTTGAGAGTGTGAGGAAGGGCAAGAGGAGTGTTCGTCCAAACGTGAGGAGAGAGCGGACCCCTCTTGAGAGAACTGCTAACACCCCTTCCTCCGGCATGGCAGACATCACATCTGCCCAATGGCAGGCCATGCTGAACGCAGCAGACGAGAACGAGAAACCGTTTTTCCAAAAGCTTTATGATGATGCCGTGCAAAGGGAAAGGAAGGCAGAGGCAGCAGCCAGAGCCACAAGCATAGCTGCCCAGGTGGCCCTCCTTCAGGTCCCGGAAGCCAATGCTGATCGGTTCCAGGAGAGGCTAGCTGCTGCCGTAGCAGCCTTGGTTCGACTGCGGAACTTAAAAGACCTTGAGTCCCGTGTAACAGCACTGGAGCAGCGGAACCAAGAGCTGCAGGCTGAGATAATCAGCCTCAAACAGTCTCAACTGTCTACCCCCCGCCCTCCTAACCCTCGACCTGCTGTAGTCCCAGTCCCAGTCTCTCAATCTAAAACAGTCCTCATGGCAAGAGCAAGTGGAACTGTGACAAGCGCAGGAACCGGTGCCAGCTCCTCAAGCGGCAGCGCCGACAGTTCTGCACTAGTCATAGTCCCAAATGCAGGGACATCAGCCCAAAACGGCACAGTCCTTACTGGCGTTCAGTACARCGGTCYCGTAGTGGACAAGCGGGCGGCCACCTTGCCRTCCAAGTRYGACGGGAAAGCGGATATCACCTCTTGGATTAGTTCCATGCGCTCATACTTCGAGGTCATGCGGACACCGCAAGAAGACCGAAGCATGATCATGGGCACTAATATTGAGCCCGCCGTATGGAACCACATTGAACTCCAAGCTGTTGCTGCAGGTTATGAAAGAATTGACCTGACCGAGTGGCTGAAAGTAACCCCTGTACGCACCCTTGAGGACCTTCTCATCACGCGATACCAAGATAAGCATGCTGCGCTCAAGGCTAGGCTGAAGCTTGAGGCCCTCAAGGGCCAAACATGGAGGTCCTCCATGCAGGCTTTGGAACAACACTTGACTGGTCTGTTCACCACTCCAGACCTGGGAATGACCGACGTGTCTTGTATGGATGTAGTCATGGGAGTGGCCCCTAAAGAATACCTCTCCCTGCTAGGACTCAAAGACCATACCATTTGGCGAGAGCTCATGACGGATCTAGTCAACCTAGAGGCCAAGGACCTCGCCAGGCGTAAGAAGGCGCCCGCTGCAGGTGGAAAACCACAACGCAAGCGGTATGGAAACAACAACCAGCTTGCCCTGCATGAACATCGGGAGGCTGAAGATCAGTCCTACGCGGATGATCAGTCTCTAGATGACGATCTAGAGTCGGTCTCCGATATGGGCTGTTCCACATCAGCCATTGAGTCTGACGTAAACGAAGATGAAAAACTTAATGAGACTGCTTCAAACAAGGGTTCTAACCGTGGTTCAGGTAGGGGAACTGTTGTATACCTCCCCAAGAATGCGAAAATCCCTGAGAAACCGGAGGATGCATCTACCAAGCCTTGGGAAGCCCTCCGTATCAGTCAAAAGGAATGGGAAAGAAGATCTAAATTGCGCATATGCTTGCATTGTCAAAAGCCTGGGCATGCTGTGCAGGACTGTTACCGACTTCAGGGAAACAGGCAAAGGGCGTAGAAGAGTCATCAGCACTCGCTACAACAAGGGAAGCTGAACCATCAGTTGCAGGCCCCTCCAATGAGCCTGAATCTAATCAACAACCTACTCTTGAAGCCCGAAATGACGCTGAATCCAAGGCTGCTGCAGTCCATGTGTTATACACTGAGCCTTGGGAGGAGTCTAAGGAAGTTGACTTCCACGCTCACCTGGGACATTGGCTGCAGCTCAAGCAGCAACGTCGTGTTCAAGGGAGTGTGGAGCTAACCTTCTTTAAACTGCTCATTAACTGCCGATACATCCGCGTGTTGATTGATAGTGGTTCAACCACTAATTTCTTTTCTCCTAACGGGATTCGTAAGGCGGGCCTGGGAATGAAGCAAGTGGAATTGCAGAACCCTTATCAGACTCAGGTGGGCAACCAAGAGGTTGTCACCTCCACACATGTTGTCAAAGGTGTGCGCGTCACCTTCGACAAAGACCGCACTGTCACACATGAGCTCAACTTTTATGTCATGGACAAGTGTCCGTTTCACGCGGTCATTGGCTTGGGCTGGTTAAAGGCTCATTGCCTAAGGACCACGTGGGCAGACAATCAGTTCGTGGTGCGTGACACCAAGGGGAACGAGCGTACCGTTCTATTGGACGAGACGCGCGAGTCCCCTGCGACTCTTTTAAGTGCGGCTAAATTCTGCAAATCAGTGCGCAGGCGCAAGGAAGCTGAGCACGTACATGTAGCTCTTGTAAAGCCTCTCCATGTGCCTTCTACTTTTGCTGCATTTTCTACCTCGGTAAGTAATTGTACTTCTACCACCTCTACTTCTATTCCATCTACTTCTACTGTGGATAATCGTTCTACTTCTGATCCAAGTACTTCGAATCCAGTTGTAATTGCTGTAAATTCTCGATCTGATTTTCTTTCTCCTAGTGAGGATGATCCTCCACCAGAAGTCCCAACAAACATTTGCTGTCTATTAGATCGATTCCCTGAAGTTCTGGCCGAACCTCGTGGAGTTCCCGAGCGTCCGATCAAACACAAGATCGAGATAATAGAAGGGAGTGTTCCTCCAAAGGGCTGCGTCTATCGTATGGGACAAGGCGAGTTGGAGGAGTTGAGGAGGCAGATTGATGACATGATCGATCGTGGATGGATTAGGCCTATTGAGTCTGAGTTTGGTGCACCTGTCCTGTTTGTGCCGAAGAAAGGAGGCAAACTCTGGATGTGTATTGACTATCGTGGCCTCAATTGAGTCACCAGAAAGAACGCTTACCCTTTGCCTCGCATAGATGATCTGCTAGATGCGGCAGGTGGGTGCAAGGTCTTCTCCAAGATCGACCTCAAGTCTGGTTACCACCAGATTGAAGTTGATCCGAGTGACCAGCACAAAACTGCATTCAAAACACGCGATGGGCTGTACGAGTTCATCGTTATGCCCTTCGGACTTACGAATGCACCGGCCACATTTAAGTGCCTCATGGACAAGCTACTTCGCCATCAACTCAACAGGTTTGTGGTTGTGTACTTTGACGATATCCTAATCTTCAGCAAGTCCATGGAAGAGCACGTCAAGCACCTTGAGGAGGTCTTGCAAGTCCTCAAGGAGGCACAACTGCACCTGAACTTAGAGAAATCTGAGTTTGGAAGGGACAGCGTCATCTATCTTGGGCACCGGTTGTCTGCAAACGGCCTTGAGCCGGAGGCAACCAAGGTTGAGGTCATCCGAAAGTGGCCTCAACCAGCGAATGTACGCGAGCTGCGTTCTTTTCTTGGTTTGGCCTCCTATTACCGGAAGTTTGTGCCCAAATTTTCTATCATTGCTCACCCACTCTCAAGACTAACTAGTAAGAATGTTGCCTATGCGTGGTGTGAGAAATGTGAGACTGCGTTCCAAGCCTTGAAAGAGGCATTGGTGAGTCATCCTGTGCTCCGCATTGCGGATCCCAACCTCACATTCATAGTCACTACGGAGGCGGGCCAGTGTGAGATTGGTGCAGTGCTGCAACAAGACGATGGTGATGGCCTGCGTCCGCTCGAATACTACAGCAAACGCATGCCCAACCACAAGGTAGCTACCTCCACATACATGCGTGAGTTCTACGCCCTACGCGAGGCGCTCACACATGGGAAGCACTACCTATTGGGTCGTCACTTCAAGGTCTACTCAGATCATCAGACCTTGCAGTGGATTAAGACACAAATTGATCTCTCTCCGACGCTGACCCGCTGGTTGCATGACATTGATGTGTACGATTTTGAGTTGAAACATAAGAAAGGTTGTTATAATCGTGTTGCTGATGCACCCTGAGTTTTTGACTTGCCTTGTGGGTTCGTATGACCTCCGAAGGAAACTGAAGGAGGATCTGGTCGAACACACCGCCAAGGATCCGGACCTTAGTTCCATCCTTGAGCAGCTCAAGGCTGACCCTAACAGTCAGCCTGATTTTCATGAGTGTGAGGGTCTTGTATTCCGCCGGTATGGGAAATTTGATCGTCTGTGTGTACCCAACCATGCGCCTCTCCGAACTCATTTCTTGGATTTGGCACATGGCCGGAGTGGACATTTCGGCTTTGAGAAGACTTATGGAAGTCTTCTCCAGCAGTTTGATTGGCGAGGAATGAAAGGATCTGCTCAGAAATTCATCGTTGAATGTCAAGTATGTCAAAGAACCAAGGTTCACAGGCATAAGCCTTATGGCCTGCTGAGACCCCTACCCATTCCTGATGGACCCGGTGAGTCGATTTCCATCAACTTCACGGGCATGGGAAAGGTGAGTGAAGCAGGGAATTCACAAGTCATGGTCATAGTGGATCGTTTCTCCAAATTTCTAAATCTGATTCCTTTTCCTCCCCATGCCCCAACTGAGCTTGTCATCGAAGAGTTCCATCAGCAGTATATTCTGCAGTATGGCCAACCGAAAACCATTGTGAGTGATCGGGACACCCGATTCATTAGTAAAGATTGGAAGGACTTCACTTCTCAGATCTACGACATTAAACTCGACAAGACTTCTGGTCGACACCCCGAAGCCAATGGACTGGTTGAGGAGATCAACCAGACTGTCATCCAACTACTTCGCGCATTGATTGTTCCAGATCAGAACACGTGGGACAAGGAGTTGCATAAAGTGAAGGGACTGTACAACAACTCCATTCACTCTGCAACTGGTGTGATACCAAACCAGTTGCAATACGGATGGCCGATGCGTAATCCCCTCTCCTATCTGTTCCCCGAACGGTCACCTGGTCTGATGCCCGGCATGCCTGGCTACAATGCCAAGTACGCACGCTTGCTCAAAGCTGTTATTGCAGCCATGAACAAGCGCCAGCATGCCATGATCAAACATGCTAACAAGTTGCGCAAAAAAGCAAAATTCAAAGTACGGGATTATGTTTGGGTCAAAATGTCTGAGTTCTCTGATGAAGAGGGCGTATCACGAAAGCTTCTTCCATTGTACTATGGCCCTTGGCAGATTCTGAAGGTGATTGGGAATGATTTTGGTCCTTCATATGTGATTGACGTGCCTCCTCATCTGCTCACGTATCCGGTATTTCATGCGTCCAAACTGTTCCCACACATTGATGATGAGACTTTTCCCTTTCGAGACCCTATGATACCTCGCTCTATCGACGGCGGCCATGAGATAGACAGAATCGTTTCTCACGAGGGAAGAGGGAGGAACAGACAGTACAAGGTTCACTTCCTCTACCACCCGTTGACTGAATTCTTCTGGATCGACCGAAAAGAGCTGCTAAAGAATGCTCCCCATGTCGTGAACGCTTCTGAACGACAGATCGCTGAGGGACAGACTGCTAAATTTGTTGCAAAAATGACTCCTCACGGACTTACTAAGTCTCTCTTTCTGATTTACTCCTACCATGCATTTTGTGCCAACTCTGAATGAGTTACTCGCTCGAAGGGACCTCGCTCTTGAGAGGGGGGTTGTGTAATGACCCGCCAAAAACACAGACTGAGAACACTGCTGATTTCTGGGATTTGCCGCTTGAATGAATGCCTTGCTGAAATTCCCGCATTCTGCTGTGATTTCCATGTCTGTGTGTGTGTGCGTGCCTGCTGGTTTGCATGCCTGTCTGAGTGCTTGTCGGTTGAGTGTGTGTGTGACCCGCAAGGGTACTTGTTGGTTGCAAGGCCCCGTAGGGCCGGTACTTACCTGTGGCCGTGACTGTGAAGGGTTGCAGGGGGGAAAACACTCGAGTAGCGGGGGTAGGCCYGCRRCACTTAGAGCAGAGGGGAAAAACACTCAAGTAGCAGGTAGGCYGGTACCACTGAAGTAGTGGTAGAAGTGTCGGGTACTGGAGGCCGAGCAGAAGAAGACAAAAAGTTGGCATTTTTAGAGGCCCAGTAGCGGTAGGTTAGAGGTAGGCYGGTACCAGTCCAAGTAGCCCAGGTCTAGGGCCTGTCMGGAGGTTAGCAGAGCCTGCAATGATGTTTCCCTCCGAAAGGGAGGAGGTWCCGGTTGCTGGGAGGCYRCTCGGCCTAGGAAGTCRCCGCCSAGGAGGCCAGTAGGCCGCTATATCTTTCGGAGGAGCAAGTAGCTCCTCCTCATTTGCGGTGTGCAAGGATTGGCGACATGCTGCTGGAGCGCAGCRCTGGACTGGTACAGCRCTGCTTGGAGKTGAAGGGCAGCTGGAGCTACGCCTGGCTATGGCGAGCAGTCCAGCTTGAGGAGGAGGAAGAAGGTTGCGAAGGAGGAGAGTGGCGAGGCACTTACCTGGCTATGGTAGACACCATCTTCATCACCTTGTTGGGCGCTGCATCTGGAAGGCCCCAGTTGGGGTAGTGCTGCACCAAGGAAGCTCGAGGCAGAGTCAGGCATGGCGGACCAGTCAGCAGCGGCATAGCTGCTTTGGGTTGTCCTTTGGACATCAGCGCAGCACCATAGCTGCTTTGGGTTGTCCTTTGGACATCAGCGCAGCACCATAGCTGCTTTGGGTTGTCCTTTGGACGTCAGGGCAAGGCCCTCATTAGTCCGCCATAGCGTATGCATGAGAGAGGAGGCTGAAGGAGGGAAGCCGTAGCTATGGTGGACTTGTTGTTGTTGTTGTTGTTGTTGAGTTGAGTCAGCAGTAAGAGGGAACTTMRGATATTGATTCTGGTTYRTCCATTCATTGTTATTATTATTATTGAGAGAAGAATAAGATTGGTGAAGTGAAGGAGGAGGAGGAAGGTGGAGAGAGAAGGGGGAATTGTCATTGGTCTTGCTGGTGTACATCTTCTTCTTCTTCTTCTTCTTCTTCTTTCTCTGTCCTCTGGTCTGTATCTCTTTGCAAGTGCTTTCATTTCTTTCGCAATGGGGTGGCATTGTCTTTCATTGTGAATTTGCACTTGGGAAATGACCAGGATCGTAACACAGAGACAGAGAGAGAGAGAGAGAGAGAGAGAGAGAGAGAGAGAGAGAGAGAGAGAGAGGGTTACCCGATGTACCTTGTCTTGCTGGGGGTGACGAGAACAGCGGCTTGCTTCTGGAGACCGGCGACTCTGTGAACCAACCTCCATAGCTGGGCTTCGTGCTGGGGATTGGGCCTACCTGTGGAGAGAGACTGGTGAGGAGACCTTCCATCTGTGACTTGAATAGAGGTGTAGGTGCTGAGGTGGCAAGTTTGAGTGGGAGAGTTCTGGTCTCGGAAGGGGGAATGGAAGAGTCTAATCATTGTATTTGTTTATTGATCATTATTAAAGCTTTACTCCTCTCCTTCACCATCCCTCTCTATTTTCTTCTCCTCCCTCTTCGTTGTTTCTGGTTTCAAGTCTTATTTTTTATTAGTGGCCATGATTGGCGTTTTCTGGAAGTCCTTGTCTATTTTCTGGTTAGAACTTAGCAGCTGCTGGATTTTTGAGTTCTATGGAACATCTGCAATGAACCGAGAACGTGAAGACACTTGTCAACAATGCAAGCCCAGAAAAATATCAACCTGCTGATGATTGTCAATAATCATAATCGTGTCCAGACTCCAGATAGAAGGAGATGGAAGAAACATACAGAGACGAAAGAGAGAGGAGGGAGAATAGACTTAGAGTGGAGAAAGAAGACAATGCCCACTTCTTCTTCGGGCTCCCTCCTCGATCGCTACCTCAATAATCAATAGTCTAAACGCGAATCTGAAGTTCTATCACAGTGTGCCATGTGGCACGTCAATCAGTCCTCATCAGCGAGCTGGAGCAATGTCAACGTCGAGAAAACCAGGTACGTATCTACGATCCTCCCACAGTCATGATCTCCTCCCGACTGACGATGAATCAGAACAGCAATGCCAATCACGTAGCCTGGCCACGTCAGCAACAGTACACGTGGCAGCAGCCACGTCAGCTGCGGCGCGTGGCAGGTGCCACGTCAGCATGCCCAGAAGACAATTGTCAGTCAGCCCCCATGCCGAGCCAGCAGCGCGTCTTTAGCTGCCCAAGTGCCAGCGTCCAACCAGCGTCGAGCCAGCGCCGTCGTCAATGCGTGAAGTCAGCTTTGACGCAAGACAGAATGTCCTCCAAGCCAAGAGGTCAACGCTTTTGTAGCGTTGACGCAGGGTCTGGACCCCGGGTGCTGCCTCCCTTAGCCGTCGAGATCTCAATGCAATGACGACCCAGATTGGCCTGAAACTGAATTCCCTCTGGCCGTGATGCTGTCTGGGTACCTGCGCACAACAAGTGAGTGTGTCCGACGAAGGGCCGGGGCGCGGTACCTTTGTCCTGACAGATAACTTAGACTTTTGACTTTCCCAGGGCAGTGCATGGTCACACTGCCTGGCACAGGCCGAGTTTGGCCTGTGTTGTCTGGGGTTCGTTTAAGGCCCCAGACTGCTGCAGAACACGGGTTACTACACATCCATGAAAATTGGAACGATACACAGAAGATTATCATGGCTTCCGCTTTTAAGGATGAAATCGAGAAATGGTCTGGCTCTTTTTTCTGAAAGAAAAGGAAAAAGACAAAAAAAGAGAGTACGTTGTGTGTGTGATGACTACATGCGTGGTCATGACATTGTGAGCGTCTCTCGAGTGCGTTCATTACAACCTCGGATGTTGGCAGGCGTGCTTGGTTGTTGTAAGACGTACGTTCTCTGAGACCCTGTTGTCGTTGTCACTTCTGCACGACTTCCTCTGTCTCGGCAGGAGCTTGTGTGGTCCCCACCACCCACCAGCCCACCCCTACCGAACCTCCCCCACGCCCGATAACCGCGGGTTTTTGCATCGGTACTCGGGAACGAGAAAAAATGCAGTTCAGGCAGGGTGTGGACTGGTGGTTGAAGGGGCCAGTCGATTCGAAGAGAAACTGACGAAAAACAAAATGCATTTTTTGCCTAAGTGACTGGTACCTGGCATTAGGAAAATCAACATGGTGCTGGTACCCGCGCTTTGGTTTTCTTGAAAAGTCTGGGCCTCCCACAGACATTTTAAGGCCCAAGGTTACCGTTCATCCGTTGATCTACCAGACCCAGGCTGAACGGCCCAGTGGCGGTACTCATCTACGGAAAAAAACAGATGGACACTCACTTGGGACGAGGATGGTGGTTCGAATGTATGTTTTTGCTTTTTATTTATTTATTTGTTTGTTAATTTGTTTTACCAAAAAAACATTCATTGAACTTAAATCGCCAGTACACGACCCCGGCCTTGCAGAAAGTTTTTGTCACCACAAACAAAACTCTGAGGGGCCGCACGGCATGGGGCGCGGTTGGGAAAAAAAAATCGGCGGCCTTCAAAGTGGTGTGGGTTCCACGCTGACTCCACGTGCCTATGTATGGTGTACTGGTGCTTTAACATGCGATTTGACTTCACATGCTGGGGTCCATACGGGTCTTTTCTGTCTTTTTTGCGGGGGTTCTGTTTTTTTCCCCTCCTTAAATGCACGGGCTCTATTTTATTCATTTTATTTTTCCAAAAACTCTCTCTGATGGGAGCAAAGGTGGGATGCGATCGTTATGGATAATTGTGAAGAGAGAACAGAAGTGTGATGTGGGATCTTTCCTTTTTTGTCTTTTTTTCTGTTTTTTATTTTTTATTTTTTTTGCAAAAAATTGTGTATCCTTCCCAAGAAGTAGTCAAGTGTACTTGGTGGAGTGACTTTTTCTGTTTTTTGTCCTTTCGTGTTCATTTTTTTGAGCAGCAGAAGGATGAGATGCATAAAACTTAATGGTCCCACAAAAAAAAAAAAAAAAAAAAAAAAAAAAAAAAAANAAAAAAAAAAAAAAAAAAACTGTTCTTTGGGACATTTTGTGAAAGATTGGAACGCTACAGAGAAGATTGCATCGCCCCTGCCCAAGGATGACACACATGAATTGAGAAATGGTTAAACAACAACAACAACAACAGCAACAACAACAGAAAATTATATTCAAGCCGCTAGGTTTTGTGATCTCGTGTCGTGTACAGCAATTATAGAGATTTTGGGCCTTGCACCAGTACTCAACATTCTACATGTATCTTGACAGTATCTCGACCAGATGCATTCGGTCTGATCCAACATTTTGAATGTATGAGGACCGTTTCCAGTTCCAGATGCATTTATAGAATATTGCGCAGGGGAGCGCGGTCCATCGACATTTACAGAAAACGTCTAGTTTTTATCGTTTTGCACTTTTGTCATTTGTCTTAGACTGGGGACGATGATTCGGAGTCCATCCGGTTAACAGCAATGTATTTTCTCTTAAGAATCTGTATATAAGTATTATAAATCCTTTTTTTTCGATAAGATGGGGGACCACCTTGAATGACCGGTATGTTTCGCTGCCATTTTGCAGAAATGCGCCGTGCATGCTGGCACTACGGGTGGGATGCACCAGGGTGCCGTTTCACCTGTGAAACCCATCGAGCTCACACCACCAGTACCTCCACGTGTTTAGGCAGTTAACGCGGTGGCTGAATTGGTGCGCCACGTGGGTCCATATGCATTTGTGTCAGAGCGTCTCCAGAGGGGGGCTAAGACCCACTGGGGTACTGGTGGTTTAATTAGGCCTCGCGTGCAACCTGTTTTGCCTGGATGGATTTTGGGCGAAATGGCACCCAGGTGCATCCCAACCTGCACGGCGCATTTCTGCAAAATGGCTGAGAAATGTACTGGTGGTTCAAGGTATCATCATCCATCTGACCGGGCCCAGCTAATTCATAGTTATTTCATTATTCATCTGAGTCTACCAGGTTTCGAACCTAGGTCTGTTTATCGAGGAGTTCAGCAGTTGGAGGTCCACATGGAGTGCTTGTCTTGGAATTGAAGAGTCGGTGACACTGGTGGTGCTCGTGATTCCGTAGCCGAAATGGAGATGATAAGATGATGTAGGTGGAGGCGGCGTAGGTGGAGGAGGATAAGGATCAGTAGAGCAGCCTCAGCGGACGAAGGTGAAGGCGAAGAAGAAGAAGAAGAAGAAGAAGAAGAAGAAGATGGCGTGGATAACACTGGTGGTGCTTGTGATTCCGCAGTGAAAAAGGAGATGATAAGATGATGTAGGTGGAGGCGCGTAGGTGGAGGAGGATAAGGAGCAGTAGAGCAGCTGCAGCGGACGACGACGACGACGAAGAAGAAGAAGGCGAAGAAGAAGAAGAAGAAGAAGAAGAAGAAGAAGAAGATGGCGTGGACGGGGGTGTCAGAGAATAAGTTGAGCATCTTTCAATGGACAGCAGATGCAAAGGAACATATCGAGCTCATTCGAAAAGCTAAGTTTCGGATAGGCGTGCCAAAAATAAGGGAAGGGGGAGCATCGGACACTCTGGCGGACTCACTGCTGACCGATTTGCACGGTGCTTGCGCCCATCTCTCGGAAACACTTTATCAGAAAGACACGCACTTCATCCTTGAGTTGATCCAGAATGCCGAAGACAATACCTACCCGGGCGACGAACGGCCAACTCTGATGTTCGTCTTAGGAGAGGGGGATCCAACGGTGGAAGTGGCAGCAGAAGTCGATCGTCAGAATCCAAGCACGATTAACGACAACTCCAGGCACCAACTAACGTTGGCCGTCTACAACAATGAGGTGGGGTTTCAAAGTGAGAATGTGGAGGCTCTCTGTGGAATTTCAAAGTCGACGAAGAAGAACAAGGAGTTTGGCTATATTGGAGAGAAAGGTATAGGATTTAAGAGTGTATTTCTTGTCTGCAAACGCCCGTGCATTTTGAGCGGGGGATATCGGTTCAGCTTTGATGAGGCGATGGATTCCGATGCCGGCATTGGCTACATCGTACCAACGTGGCTCGATGAGAATAAGGCAACTGTCTCTCAGCTAAGCAAGTTCCATTTGCAAGACGCATTTCGAACAGCAATCCTATTACCGCTTAAGCCAGAGAAAGGGGAATCTGTCCAGCGCCAACTGTGTGAAATTGCTCCGGAGACTCTGCTTTTCCTCAGAAAACTGCAGGTCTTAGTGATATACGATTTGGTTAACGGAAGTTTCATGGCATTTGACAGGAAGCCTGACAAGAAAACCGGCGTGGTGGAATTGGGAAAGAAAACAGTGGGAACTGAAACTTCTGTGCGGTATTGGCTACACCAAGCTGTATTCGATGTGCCGGCGCAGATTGTCGAGGAGAAGAGGGTTGGCATTACGAAATGGACAATCTTTGTAGCGTTTCCGTTTTGCAAAAGTGCGGAAACAGATGAAGATGCACATGATGTCTTTGCTTTCCTGCCTACAGAGATCAGAACTGGCTGGCCTTTTCTGATCAACGCGGACTTCTTGCTCGTCGCATCGCGGGAGGCGATACTGTTCGATAGACCGTGGAACGTGGGGCTGCTGCAATGTATGCCAGTAGCCTTTGTACAGGGGTACTTGGATTTACAGAGAAGAGCAAGGTCGTGCGTTTTGTCGCTTTCGTCGAAGCAATACGACGTCTTGCGGTTTGTGCCGCTGCGTACTGTCGCCAAAGATTTGGAAAGTGTGAGGAAGCAGATGATCGCTTGTCTTAGGTCGCAGGAAGTTATTCCTGTGTCAAAGTTGTTTGAAGAAGGAGAGAATGCAGCAGCAGAAGGAGCTTCAGGGAGGTCTCGGTCTGCGTCCGGGCAGGGCTCCGGAAGCAGCAGCAGCTCGTCTCCACCTTCGATTACGTTGGCTAGAAGCTCGGCTGCATTTGAAAACGAAGGAACCGCCAACTTGGGAGGTGGCAAGCGGATAGGGAGGGGTGAGAGCCCGGAGGCAAATTCGGCAGAGGAGGGGACGGTATGGTGTAGCCCAAAGTGTGCGAGGATGGCTGATCCCGACTTTGTTAAATTCTTGTGGAGAGTGAAGAACTCCGGGCACCCCATTCCTTTTTGGTTCGGTACGAAAAAGGAAACGGGTGGCCAGGGATCTTCACCATCCACACATAGTGGGAAGCGGGGGGTGAAGTGGAGGATGTATCTTGTTGATGAAGATGCTCAGCAGAGGTATTACGGCCAGCTTGTGGAGTTGGGAGTTCAGTCTATGACCAAAACGTGCTACTGGGACTGTGTGGGACTTGGTGACTGGTGTGAAAACCTCAGTGAAGCTCTCTACGTAGAGCTGCTTGCAGTTTTCGCAAATGGCCAGTTTTTAGGAAAGGAGGACATGATGAAGAACGGGGTTAGACTTCTCCGTGTGGATGGGGAAGAAAAACTGTCGGAATCGACAAATGAAAGACCTATATATCTGCCACCTATGGAGCGGGATGACTGGTTGGCCACGTGCATCGAGCAGCTGCAGACCGTAGCGCCAGTGCGGCTGTTTTCGAAGCCAGTGTATAAGACGATTTGCTACTCCTCTTCAGGCTTGTCCATTGTTGGCATGCTGCAAAAGTGCTTGAATGTGAAGAGACTCACTGTGGAGAGCTATGCGTTCCACGTCGTCCAAGCTTCACTTCAGCTGGCGGACCCGGAGAAAGTTCTGTTGGTCGCGGACTTCTTCCGCAATGCCCTCGAACGGTACACATTGCCTGTTCCAACCGCCATTACCTGGCTCTCGATGATTCCACTACTGCAAGAAAATGGCAGCATCATTCATCGGGGAGTGATGCGCCGAAAGGGTTATAGATTTGTTCCCACATCAATAAATTGCATCCCGGTGCTGATGCCTCAATCTATGAGCAAGTGGCCAGATCTGCTGGAAGGTGATACCAGCTGGGAGGGAAAGGTAATCAAGCTGTCTGAAGCATACTTGCGGAACTCACCCCCCCTCGAGGGTCGCGAGAAAGAGCAAGGGAGCCCCCAATTTCATGGAAGTGGGGGGCCGCAGGTTTCAGGACAAAATCCTCAGGAGTTACAAGACCAGCGCAGCAAACGTGAGGATTTCATAAGAAAGCACTTAAAAGCTGTGGATGTTTTCAGTCTCGAACCATCAGGTGACGCGGAACTGCAAATCCTTCACCGTTCCTCCCCGGATGGCCTCCCTGCCAAGAAGGTGATGATCCTGATTGAGTGGCTCGGAAAGCTGCTCTTTAAATATGGAAGACATGGGCATGGGGCACCGGACTTGTGCGATCTCAAGAGGGAGTTGAAAAGTAATCGCCTTCCTCCTTTTTGGCAGGCCATCCACCAGTGTTCTTGGGTGCCAACATCCTGCGGCGGCCGGAGACCTGTTGAGGCATGGTTTCCTCGTAAAGAGATAACTGACGTACTCGGAGATGCCATGCCATTGATTGTTCGCGATGCATTGGTACTGACGGAACGAGCGATGGAAACGCTGCAGCGCATTGGCGTAAAAACAAGCATCACTTCGGAAGATGTTTACTCTCACCTATTGCAGCTCTCTCAGTATCCTGCATCTCAGACTACCGCTAAAGCCGTCCAGCGCCTTTACAAGTTCTTGAGGAAGGAGGGATTCACAGTTGGCAGGGGCTTAAGCTTTCCTGTTTGGTATTGCGCACGAAACAGTCAGGCAAACGAAAGTTCAAGATGGTGTGAGCCATCGGAGTGCTTGTGGGAGGACGAGGACGGCTTGTTTGCTGACAGCTTACCCGTACTGAAGGACGTGTACACAAGCGACTTGCAGCAATGGTTCAAATGGTTAGGTGTGCATGTGCGGCCGACGATTGACCACTGCCTTCAGATCTGGCTGGACCGGACTCCACCGTGCAGAGCAAGGGAGGATGCGGCTTATGTGGACACCAACTTCGCAGGGAAGGTCTGGGCCTTGATTGCTCGATATGCTAACGAGGCTCAGAAGTCCAAGGTCTGGGCAGTGTTCCAAAGGACAGCAATGCTCCCACTTGCCGCCGCAAAGGCAGGTGAAAGTGGTGGTGGTCGTGCTGGCGTTCCTGGAGGCAGGGAGGTTAAGCAGACATCATCTGCAGCTGGAGCTGTTGGACATTCAAGGCTTCAGCTGGGAGAACCAAGCAGGTTGTTTGTCCCTGATGATTTGCTGCTGGAGAAGGTCTTTGTAGATCATGATCCCACACTGCCATTGGTCTGGCTTCCAGACATTGCCGATCCGCGGCAGTTGCAAAAGCTCTTCCACCTGTGCAAGGTCATGGGCGCAAGTTCGTTGAGCGAAGCGAGCACAATGAAAGTGACCCGAAAAGGAAGGAGCTTACCACTCCCTCTGCCGCGCGATCTTCATGTTGAGATTCGACCAGGTCATAGAGCTCCAGAACCTGTGCTTGGAGATCCTCTTTTCACTGCAGTGTTGGGATTTCGGTACCTGCCAGGGGTGACGGATCATTTCGATAGGGAAGCGTATCATACGTGCGTCTCTCCTCTTGTGAAGGCACGGGAGTGTCTTGTTGAGCAAATGGAGGTTGAGCGCATTTTGATGAGCCAGCACACGAAAAAGGGCAAAAAGTTGCCATCGCACGTTCGTGTGAAGGCAGTGGAGCAGTGCACAGCCTATTGGGACAAAGACGAGAACATCTTATACCGAACTCTGGAGCCCATTAACGATCATGTTGCAGGGTTGGGCGGAATCACTCCGCTGAGGCGTACTGCAGAATTGGCGGAGGCTGTGTCGTTCGGGGTTCTCCCATCGCATCCCAAAGAGTTGGTGAAGAAATGTACAGAATTTTTGAGAAACTTTCTGTCGGCTCGTCTGCTGACCATGGAGGCCATTGAATACTTGCTTATGCAAAACAACATTCGGTTATCAATGGCGGATCGTCAATTCATTCGCGACGCGAAGGTGTCTCCAACAATAAATCAGAAAGAAACACAAATGGATGAGGACACTGGTGCAGCGAATGGTGATGCAAGTGGCGAAGAGGGGATGATGGGGGATGGAGATGTGGCCGTCGATGCCCTCACGGTTCCATTGCCATTGGCTGCTGCTGGCGATTCGGCTGCAGCTCATTACTCAGATGCTTCTGCCGCTGAGCCTAAAACCATGCAGGATACCATAATTGAGGACATGGAGGGAGAACTCAACCCCAGGGCATCAGCTTCAACAATAAGGGAAGGGGAACAGAGTCAGTCAAATGCTCTCCGCCGTGGCCGGCATTCTGGAATCACGATGTCGTATCCGATGGAGAGGGATGCAGAACCCTCTGCAGGGTTCAGAGGAGAGAAGAAAGCACTACACACAGGTGCGCGAGGCAAGCCGAGAGACAAGCTCGCCACGAGCAGAGCCGATGCCATTATGGAGCACACGACTTCTCAAGAAGAGAGTGCAGCCTCTGCACCTGTTGTTGGGGAGTCCGCAAGGAGGAGAAGATATGCTAACTTAGAGGAGTATATGACATCCCAAGAAGGTGCGACCTCCGCACCTGCGGTGAGCCGCCATGCTCGTGCTGCCCCGGCCTCGAAGGGTCCTGTTTTTTCTCTTTCTGACGATTCAGACGAGAGAGTAGTCATGATGCCAGCAGATGAGGAGGGGTTGAAACGCAATATGCGCGCGGCGTTAAAGGTTGTGAATGACAGGATCGGTGATATTGAAGGAGATCCCAAGCAGGCAGTATTTTTCCCCGACGAGCATTACTCGAAACTTCACTGGTGGGTACAGACGTCCCAGCTCAGAGTGAGGGCTATACTTGGTCTGCCGCCGCACGATGCGATTGCAGAGTCCCTCAACCGCGCTCTGATGCTAGCATTCCTCCATCCTTCGTACTTTGGGACGCGAATGCCGAGCTATGAACGGCTTGAATTCTTTGGCGACTCGATCCTAGATGCGTGTGTGGCCGATCGCCTCTTCTGCATGCACCCACAGGCACACGAAGGCGTCTTGACGGAGATGAAGGAGATGATGGTATCCAATCGTGTAAATGCGATGTGTATTCGCGCTGCCGGCTTGGACGAGTTCATAATCATGGGGCATTTGGAACGGGAATTTCCTCCAGGAAACGAAGCCCGGCCAGGACAATCAACCTCCCCATGGGGTGTTCCCATGAAGGTGATGGCTGACGTTCTCGAGGCAATTGTTGCTGTTATTTTTCTCTGGTACGGACCTTCCAGTGTCACGAAACTCTTATTTCATTTCTTTTACCCTCTTGCTCTCTTGTCCAAGCCCGCCGATGGCAGTGGAGTCGCAATTGAGGAAGTTGATGCTGGTCCATCAACGGAAGCTGATAGACCTGTCTTGTCATGAATGCCGGAGGCTGATGGAAGTGTCTTCTCATGAACGCCAGAAGCATGTTTGCTGATGCCTGTGCCCTAAGTAGGCATGTTTGCTGCCCATCACACTCATTGTAGATGCCATAAAAATCCGTTCCCAGCTGTCCCGTGTCCTGAATAGAAATCTTTTGCACTGCATCTGTCCTCCTTCCCAAATCGACATCCTCTGTTGTGTCCTCGATAGGCATGGTTCGCCCACCATCCCCCCTCTTCTTATAGATGCCATAAAGGAGATGCAACCTGCCGTGGGATGTGCTTTAGCCGGGGGCCATTCTGGCGTTTCTCCGTCATGAATGAGGTGGACCTGGCCGTCATCTCCGGAGTCCGTGAGCAAGGCAAGGGGATCAAGTTCTGCCCTAGAGGGGCACAAATTTTGCACGCCCAAACTCCATGCAGCGGTAAAGGCTTGTTTGTATATGTGTTCGCCCAAGGAAGGAGAGGGTAAGCAGTCAGGTAAGGAGACTTTCTATATTCAAGCTGCAACTGCTCGGCTGCGAGCACGGATGAATTGCCAAGTCTTCGTGTGGTCAGAAAGCTGTGTAGGGTCTACATGTGAGGAGCTTCCGAGTGTTATTAAATAGGCGGTAAAAGAAGTAGTCACGATGGATTGGTGTAGAAGGTTTCGACATGCTGCCTCTTTTACAAGAGACGCGTGGTGGTGTGAAAGCTGCGCAGCGACTAGATGCGAGGAACTTGCGAGTGTTCTGGAATAGGCTTCGTGTGGCACAGAAATCTGTGCAGGGACCACATGCGAGGAGCTTGCAAGCGGTTATAAAATGAAATAGGCTGCAAAAGCCGTGGTCACAATGGCTTCGTGGAGAAGGTTTCAACAGGCTGCTTCGTTCACAAGAGGCGTGTGGCAGTGCGAAAGGGATTAGCTAGCAGCAAGGTACCGCTAGGTTTCCCGTCCGAATCCTCTGCTGATTATAACACTCGATACGGTTTTGTCAGGCTGATCGCACCGTGCCTGAGAGGCTCAGCACGGTAGGCCCTTAGACGTCGAACAGGCAAAGCTATTTCCCGATTTCGATTCCTCTCTCCCATTTGGCGTCTATCCTAATAGCTTGGTGGGTTTTCGCAACACATCTAAGGTCTCTGGTGACTGTATACACATTTGACAAGATTTTGTTAAGGTTATGGGATGGTGCCGGAGAGCTTCAGCAAGATAGAGACGTAGATGTCGAATAGGCAATAATGGTAATTCCGATTCCTTTCGCTTATCTAGTTTCTACCCTGATAGCGTGGTTTACGGTTTCCGTAAGAAAATGCCGAAAGGCGTCACCCACCTCACACTGCCGGCTGGAGACTGATAGGCCCCCGGATGGCATATTTGTATGGCTCCTGTTCTGCCTCGGACAGTGGGCTGCTCTTTCTTTGTTGTCTTCGTATGAAAGAAGCTGTGGAAGTGGCTATGCCTTCCTGGGGTGATACTGCCGCTGTATGTGGTCGTATGTAGGCTTGACTCTTGTTGATTGTATCGGTTGCAGGTCTCCCATGTTTGCATGGTGGTGTGCTTCTTCGAAGTAGCACATTCTGAAATTGTGGCTTGCTTGGTTCCCTCGTGGTGAGTCTTTGATTATGAGCGTTAACCGCCTTTGGGACCTTGGTCCTTTACCCCCCCCCCCCCCCCCCTCCTGCCATTTTTCTTGGGACGCTTTCCCTGAACAAACGGGGGATAAGGAACGTTATTGACGTTGTTGAAATCAGCAGACATGGATGGAATTGTCTTCAGCACGGTACGCTGACTCGGCTTGCTGGGTCGATCCTACCCAGCTCCGAATTGTCGCTGTCTCTAACTGTTTCTGGTCTTTAGTTTTTCCGTATGGAGTGTTAACACAACGCAGCGATTGACCTATCGGAGTCTAGGGTATACGGGTTGAAGGGTTTTGGGGTTGAACGGTTTAGGGTGAAGGTTATATGGTTTATGGTTTAGGGTTTAGGGTTACGGTTTAGCGAATACCAGTGAGAGACGGAAGGCATTTGGGGGGAGAGAGAGAGAGAGAGTTAGATAGTTACCTGTTGGGTGGTGGTAGGTGGCTGTATTGAGAGAGAGAGAGAGAGAGAGAGAGAGAGAGAGAGAGTTACCTGTTGGGTGGTGGTAGGTGGCTGTATTTCACCGTGTACAGTGGTTCATCATTCTTTGTTGTCCGAAAATAATTTGGAGTTTTTCATATTGTGTTGTTCATTGCGTATCTCTTGTGTGGAGCTTTGTGTGACGACTTGTGAGCTTGCATGGACACGTCCTAGAGGGGCACAGATTTTGCAGGCCCTGTTTCTTTCTTTCTTTCTTTTTTGCGTGAGTTAGCAAAATCAGAACATGAGAAATGTGGAGCCGCTAGGCCCCGTTTCTTTTCGTTTTTATCTTTTCGTTTTTATCTTTTCGTTTTTTTCTTTTTTTTTTTAAGAACATGAGAAATGTCATTCTCTATGGGCATACCCAATGGCAACATTCCAGTTGCGCATTCCCTCAGTGTCATTGGCACTCTTCCAAGTCATGGTAGCTCTCAGTTGACGTCAGTAGAGTCAGTACGACTATGACCATTTGTGTTTACTGCTCCTTCCCCCAGGTGGTTTTCACTTGTGCTTCCTTCCTTTGTCTTTTTGTTTGTTTGTTTGTTTGTTTGTTTGTTTGTTTGCTTGTTTCATTTCTATCAAATTGTGTGTGTGTGTGTGTGTGTGTGTGCGTGTGTGTGTGTGTGTGTGTGTTTGTTCCCCTTGTCGGTTCGTTTGTTTGTTAGTTCTTTAAACTTCTTTCCTAATCATTTGTATCACTCTTGTCCTTCTTTTGCCGCGATGTTGTTTCTTTTTTTTACTTCTTTTTCGGTTCTGTTTTTAACGGCCCTCTTGCTTCTCTTACCGCTTACTTTCTTAGGGCTTTTGTAACTTTGCTGCCATCCCTGCAAGCTTAAATCGTGCTCGCTGCTTTGGTGAGTTAGTTGGGTGGGGTGTCATCATCATCCTTGGGTCTCTAGTTGGCATGCCGGTGTCACTTTGTGAGCCTGGACATCTTCCCCTTCATTTTCTTCTTCGTTTCTTGTCACTTTGTGAGCGGGAACATCTTGTTTTTCTTCTTCGTTTCTTCGTTTTTTTTTTTTTTTTTTTTTTTTTCCCCAACGTCAGTTGCCATCCAGCTACCCTGAAGCTGACAGGAGCACCTCTACGGTTGGCGTAACGTCTGTAGATGGCTCCGATCTAGATTCGAGGGGAGCAGAACGTTCGGGAATGGCTACGGATGGGTTCAATCTATATCCGGGGGAAGCAGAACTTTCTTGAAACTGGGTCCAGGATCTCATTGAATTGGGGGTGTGGGGGTCCGCTGGTCACTCTGCTTTTATCTTCTTCTTCTTCTTTTTTTTTATTTTTTATTTTTTTATTTTTATTTTAATTGGACCATTTCTCGATTTATGTGTGTCATCCTTGCACAGGGGCCATGCTAATCTTCTCTGTATCGTTCCAATTTTAACGGATGTCCCGAAGG